TAAGTGGAAAAATGTCATCAAGAAAAATTTTACTTAGGCTCTCTATTTCGTCTTATAAACGACAAAAAGCCAACCTGTGTAATTTTTTTTAAACGTTTTGAATATGTTCTTAAAATCAGTTTCAGGAGTTACAACACGAAATCATTTATCTCGAAATAAATTAAATTGACCCCTGAGTTTGGAAACCGATATTAAGAAAACATAGGGGCGAAAAAATTTGAAATTTGGACCATATAGCCTCACCATTACTCTATTGTGTGTTAAAATTTCAGTTAGATTCGTTATCCCATTTTTTAGTTATTAATGAAAATGTCTGCCTACAAAATTGATATCTCTCACTTTAACTCATCGTAATTTTTTTGTTAATTGATAAAAAACTGACGATAAGTCTTTAGTACTGTGAAGGTCATTTGTCTGAAAAGCTCTCCTTTTTTATTTTTAATCAAAACAGAAGGGAGTGCTATCTCCGTAAATATTGCATTCTTTAAAAAAAAAGAAAAAACTGACTCAAATAATTATAAACAACAATCTGAAAAGAAATGTTAAAATAATACAGTTATAAAGGCTATATATACTGTATACCCTGCATCGGACTGTGAACGTAATTGACCTTTTCGATACTGTTTTTAAGAATATCCGATTTATAACTGTATTATTTTAAAAAAAAAATTCAGATTGTTGTCTACAGTTATTTCCTACCTATGTCAGTTTTTTTCTTTTTTTAGAGAACGCAATATTTACGGAGATAGCACTCCCTTCTGTTTTGTTTAAAAATAAAAAAAGAAGAGCTTTTGAGACAAATGACCTTCACAATACTAAAGATAATAGTTCGACTTATCGTCAGTAAAAATTTGGAATTTTTTTATCAATTAACAAAAAAATTACGACGAGTTAAAGTGAAAGGTATCAATTTTGTAGGCAGAAAACCGCGATTTTTTCCACATTTTAATTAATAACTAAAAAATGGGATAACAAAACTAACTGAAATTTTAGCACGCAATAGAGTAATAGTGAGGCTATAGGTATATGGTCCAAATTTCAAATTTTTTTGCGTCTAAGTTTTTTTAATATCGGTTTCTAAACTCAGGGGTCTATTTCATTTATTTCGATGGTTAAGTTTATGGGAAATTTTTCCTTATTTTCTGTCAGTTCTGTCAGCAAGTAAAGTTTGGTTTATGCAACTCGGGGCATCTTGAAAATAAAAAAGATGGAAATAGAGCAATTTAATGATATCCAGTGGTATCATCTAATAAATGAAGAAGGATTACAAGTGGAATTTTAAAAAATTTCATTAAAATTAGAGAAATTCCCAGGTATTCCATACATTTCCATATTTATAAAATTCCCTTATAATTCCAGGTTTCCAGATTAATATAGGCCCAGTGTATTTCATTGAGATTACAAGAAAATTTCCTAAAACTTTTTTCCTAAATATATGAGCAAAAAAAAGGACTTTGCCATTCTGTTATTTCACTATGCCTGTATATACACCTTAAAGTTAATTCCGCTATTTTTGACACCCTGTATATGTCTTTGCCAAACACCGACGCTTAAAAAAATTTGTAGGCCACATGACGGCGAATATCACACTTTTAGACACCCAGCCAAATCGGAATTGACGGATATGTGACACAGGTCCCGTTACCCGTTACAAGAAAGTGGAGAAACCGTATCGAACACACATACAATAACAGTACGGAGTACGTCCGATGTATTTTACAGCTACAAGTCCCGCGCCGCCCCCGCCAGCGAGGCTCGCGTTCGAACGCACCGCTCGAAACGACGACGCACGGTCGCTACCGCGTACCAGTACCGCGAGCTACATCCTTTTCTGTCGCTGAATTTATAATAATTGATGCACTTGTCTCTTTATGTACAAGTAAATATAAACCGTAATTGAAGCGTTGTCGGGTTAATAGGGGCCGTTGTACAGCGCTGTATCGGTGATAGGGGACGTTGACGCGCAGTGGCGTAGGCGAAAGGTTTACAGAAGGCGTACGAAAAAAATAATAATGACGTAAAGATGCGGATAGTAATAGAATAATATTCTGACGTTACTAAAAATTCACTACAGCGTTTTTGCTGGAGATTTAACATTTCGGAAAGCATAGCAAAAATTGTGAAAAAATTGAATAAATTCCAAATGAAAATGAAAACACCTGAACAAATTAAAATACTGTGGGGGTAGCAGTCTCCTGGTACGTCACTGTTTTCATGTAATTAATAAAGTAATATTTTGAAGCTTAGCATCTCTAACGTAAATATTTTTATTTAAATTATTTCCAGTAATATTTATAATTGCCCCATTATACATTTTGAATAAATTTTCCTGCATTACGGGTATTTTTCGGTGTAATTAAATCGTCCCAATCCATTAATAGTCCTAATCCGGGGACAAAAAAAACTGGCACGTATTCTTGGACAGCGAGAAAATTATTTTTATTTTTAATTTTATTTTATATCACAAAATTTTGCCTGTGTTCAAACGTACAAAAATGTAGCTTCATTTATTATTTAATTTTAATAAGGGAATTTAATTAATTAATTAATTTTAAGGGAAGACAGGGAAAAATGAGTACAATACAAATACGACCCACAAAGGTTTATCGGTTATTAACCTAGCGTTTAATGCGTTTTTAATCTGTAGTGAACGACAATGAATATGATTTTTAGTGTTGTGTTCAATTAATTATTCAGTTTGCAATCCTTATATATTAAAAGCTGTAGGTTACTCTCGCTCCCACACTCGGCCGCGAAAAGAGACGCATATTATCAAAGGCTTTCTCCGCGAGCCGCAAAGCGGTGAGCAGAAGGGCGCCAAGCACCCTTCGGTCCTTCCTTTATCCAAACGTCACATTCTGAAGGTAATTCCTTAGCGTCTTCTAAGATAAATTATATTTCCTCTTTAAAATGAGTCCTCGCCGAAAATCGAATTTTTTCGGTGCGAGAGAGATACCCGAAGTACATCCGATGTTTAGGTAGAGATGCAGACAAACGTCAGTGAAGGCGTCAAAATAAATTTTACCTTTTGAAGCGTTTTCTCGGCTGATCGGGCCACGGTTCGATTTTTCAGAGATGCTGCTTTGGCGATAAAACCTGATTTGAACATTTTCAATTTTCTGTTTACATTAGCCGAGACCCAACGTTTCAAATAGTCCGTGTAGGCTCCACCCAGCGTTAGATCGCCGTAACTCATTTTGAAAACTCGCGACTGCGAAGCCGAAAGGGTTGGAATCGCGGGCGCGTCGAACTTTATCTTCTTTTTTTGAAAAATTTTATATATTTTTTATTAACCCACAGAGAATGCACGCACCGCGCATGTTCAAGTACCTTTCTAGTATACCTTATTGTATGACTTATTGCTTTTAAAGAGTAATATGGTATTTACCTATTTAAAATGACGGTACGGTTAAAAAAATACTCACTCATCCGTCCATAATAGGTGCTTTGTTGGGACCCTCTGCACAATGATTTTTAAACCAATTGCAAAATTCAAGAGGACCGGGGAAATCAGCTGTTTCGCTTCAACGTTCGAACGCTCTATAGTTCGCCGGCGCGTTGCCTGTTGCGAAATAGGGCGCCGAATTAACGGGAGTTGCTTATTTTTTTAAAGATCGAGTAAATTTTTTTTTCGATTTTCTGCCTCTATTAGGCCTTCCGAAAACGTGGTTAAAATTAATGACATTATAACTGAATCGCCTCGTATAACAGCAGATTTGAGCTAAAAATCATTGTTTATGATTCTAACATCTTTTAATTTCAGGGCTATCTTTTGTTTCTATAATAGGTTTGCGTTAGTTTTTTTCTTGCACAATCCGAGAGAAAGGACATCCTCTAGCAAACTGCGGACTTCACAGGTGCGTTACACCTTTGCCAATATTCTAAAATCCAGTAAAAGTTCAAAACGAGCGGTTTTCTTAGCTCACAGTAACGATTTTGACCTTTCAAGTTTTTTTACAGCCTCAGTAATTGAACGATCAAGAGTATCTCCGCATAGAAGTAATTTTTACCAGGCGATGATTGAAAAGGTACGTAATACACAGATATGGTAATCTTAACCATATTAAGACACGACATAATAAAAATGTGTCAGCCTCTTGGCATTCCCGNCGCACCGCGCATGTTCAAGTACCTTTCTAGTATACCTTATTGTATGACTTATTGCTTTTAAAGAGTAATATGGTATTTACCTATTTAAAATGACGGTACGGTTAAAAAAATACTCACTCATCCGTCCATAATAGGTGCTTTGTTGGGACCCTCTGCACAATGATTTTTAAACCAATTGCAAAATTCAAGAGGACCGGGGAAATCAGCTGTTTCGCTTCAACGTTCGAACGCTCTATAGTTCGCCGGCGCGTTGCCTGTTGCGAAATAGGGCGCCGAATTAACGGGAGTTGCTTATTTTTTTAAAGATCGAGTAAATTTTTTTTTCGATTTTCTGCCTCTATTAGGCCTTCCGAAAACGTGGTTAAAATTAATGACATTATAACTGAATCGCCTCGTATAACAGCAGATTTGAGCTAAAAATCATTGTTTATGATTCTAACATCTTTTAATTTCAGGGCTATCTTTTGTTTCTATAATAGGTTTGCGTTAGTTTTTTTCTTGCACAATCCGAGAGAAAGGACATCCTCTAGCAAACTGCGGACTTCACAGGTGCGTTACACCTTTGCCAATATTCTAAAATCCAGTAAAAGTTCAAAACGAGCGGTTTTCTTAGCTCACAGTAACGATTTTGACCTTTCAAGTTTTTTTACAGCATCAGTAATTGAACGATCAAGAGTATCTCCGCATAGAAGTAATTTTTACCAGGCGATGATTGAAAAGGTACGTAATACACAGATATGGTAATCTTAACCATATTAAGACACGACATAATAAAAATGTGTCAGCCTCTTGGCATTCCCGATTTAAATGCTATTGAAAAAAACTAAATACGACAAATATTCTTGCAGATCCGAAAAATTTGAAAGTGTATAAAAAAAATTTGAACTCACCGTCGCAGATTTGAACCTTTTGCTGCCCGACCTCTTCAGTGTGCCGCCCCTGATGTTGGCGTCGTCGAGGTGGACCTCACCCCCGTCGTGACCGGACCTCCTGCTCAACTCGCTGAGCTCCGCCACCGGTTGGACCTGGAACAGAACAGAAAAAGGTCGACTATTAGTTGACACATCAAACATGGAGCATTCTACCGAGTATAACGAAAAAAGTAGAACCTAGATTGGACACCGGATCGTCCTAGGAACGAATTTCGCTATTTAAGCGAACATCATCAGGAAACAGTAAGCGTACCTACGCCTGTGCAAAATCGATCGATTTGTTCGCCACCCTGTAGGACTAGTTCCTTGTACGATTTCTACATTCGGGGTGTAGGTGTGGGGGGTAAAACAAGCCGTTGACTCACAGCTACAGTCAGTCAGTCATTAACGAGGCGTCGGGAGGTCGATTACACATTTATTATGGAAATAAAGTGCAGGACCGAATGAGGCGTGATTAAGCCGACGATGAGGGCAAGTTTTACGTAAATCTGCGATTCGTAGGCAAATTTTCAGAAGGGGAAAAACTGACAGTTAAAAAAACGACAGTAACGTAGTAACTACTTTAATATAGACCACAATAGCTGAAGAGTTTGTTACCTTTTAGGAGTAAATTAAATAAACAATTGAACCATAATTAGTTTTTTAAGTTGCACTTAAACTTTTGTCTACGCCGTTACTGGGCAGCTCACGATTCGGCACGCTTATCAGTGTTAGCTTTCGTTACCTTTCTAAAGCAACTGTATGAAACTAAGGCAGGGGCAGAGAGCGAAACTGCAATGGAAAATAATTATGTAAAAACAGATTATTCGTCTAGAACTTTGCGACATTTTCTTTATGCAATGCGGGAGAAGTGTCGAATATTAAAAAAATGTTTGAATGTTTCTAAAAATAATAGTTATTTGTTTAACTAGGCAGTACAAGATTTAATGACGCAGCTGGTATTTAATAGACGAGGCGCAGCCGAGTCTCTTAAATCAACCAAGACATTAAAACTACTTTACTGCCAAGTTAAACACAATTTTTTCGGCGAACAATTTTAATTTTATCATAATAGCAAACAAAGGTGTTTATTTTATATTATTAAAATCGTATGATACTTTTTTCTTGTACAATAATAATAATTTCATCAGGTCGTCTGTAGTTGCTAAGAGAAGAGCGTTTTTAAGTAAATAACTTAGGTACACAGTAATTGCCATATTGTTCCTATTTAAACAGGAGTAACGTCACCATTAATATTAAATATCTCTAACATCTGTATAGCAAAGTTACCGCCCGTACACAAATACGGTCCTTGGCGGAGTACGGTCCTGCGTTTTATTGTTTATCCGCACTCGAGAGACTGCGAAATAAAAAAAATCATAATCTCGTTCTCCGCGGCTGACTAGCCGCCTAACCAAGTTTTTTTTAACCGCTACGCGAACCGATATCTGTTTATCCGCGGTGTCTGCGTACAAAAAAGAAATGGGCCACGCCGCGCTCGCACGGAAGTCCGTCGATCACGTGACCCACATATCCCGGAAGGCACGTCGAGGTCTTCGACGAAAAGCCTCTGCGAGACGGCCCTCTTGCTTTGAAATAATTATTTTATATCGCGTACCTAAATGTTCTTAGGTATTTCGGCATTTTTATCTTTTATTTGATGTTTTATATTACCTCCTATGCGAATAGGAGGTAATATCTAAATTAGTAGGTCTTAAGTTTTGGACGCCTACAAAGAAATTTCCAAACATACGCGTACATTTAATGTTTTTTCCTACACTTTTGATAATGATGTCAAGTACTAATAAGAAACTTATTAGCAGTCCACTGATAACGCTAAAAATATAATAATTATAGAGAAAAGTTATCGCAACAACTAGGTACAACGTTTTAATGATTACATACACGCATAAACAGATAAATATGTATAAGTTAAAACATTCTATTTTGATTGATTTTTATTGTAACCCTCTAATAAAATTCTAGTTGAAGAGAATATGAGTTCGATCGGGCTAAAAATTTATAGATATCAAGTGAGAAACAAAACTAAACCCAAAGTGGAATATATTTTCCAATTGGATTTCAGTTCAATTCCAAATGGAATGGAATATAAACAATTTGACGAATTACTTGATTGATTCCAAGTGCAAACTCCAATCGTGGCCAAATAAAATTAAATTGGAAATATTTCCGAATGGATTCCAGTTAAATTACAATGGGATTCTCAATTATCGCGAGTAATCCAAACAAAATTGTATATATCTAACTAAGAATACATCCGCAATTTAAAAAGAATCCAAATGGAATCTAATTTCCAATTCGAATGGAATATAAACAAATAAATTTCAAGTTGACGAATTCCTGAATTGAATTCCAGTTCAAAATTTAATCCGAGCCAAATAAAATCCAATTGGAATTTCTGAATGGATTCTAGTTAAATTACAATTGGAGGAACATAGGATATAAGTCGATTCTCAATTATCGCAAGTAATCTAAACCGAATTGTATTTATCCAACTAAGAATACATCCAGAATTTAATAAGAATCCAAATGGAATTCAATTTCCGATTGCACTTAAGTTAAATTCCAGTTGAAATGGAATTGAAGTAATTAATTTTCAATTTGAAGAATTACTGAATCGAATTCCAAATCCAAACTTTAATCGCAACTAAATAAAATCCAATTGGAATTTCCGAATGGATTCTAGTTAAATTCCAATTGTAATGCAACATAAACAATTAAATTCAAATTGACGAATTACAGAAGTGAATTCTAAGTTCAAACTTTAATCGGAGCCAAATAAAATCCAATTGGAATTTCAGAATGGATTCTAGTTAAATTGGAGGAACATAGAATATAAGTCGACTCTCAATTATCGCAAGTAATCTAAACCGAATTGTATTTATCCAACTAAGAATACATCCAGAATTTAATAAGAAACCAAATGGAATTCAATTTCCAATTGTACTTAAGTTAAATTCCAGTTGAAACGGAATTTAAATAATAAAATTATTTCAATTTGAAGAATTACTGAATTGAAATCCAAGTCCAAATCTTAATCGGAGCTAAATACAATCCAATTGGAATTTCCGAATGGATTCTAGTTAAATTAAATTGTAATTGGAATATAATTAATTAAATTCCAATTTGACGAATTACTGAATTGAATTCCAAGTCCTAACTTTAATCGAAGCCGAACAAACTGGATTGGATAATTATACGATTGGATTCGGTGTTAACTTTCCGTAATCCTACTGGAAATTAGTTAAGATTTTATTTTCCTTCGACAATGAACGATTGTACATTTCGCTTTCTTCATTAGTCGAAACTGTCGCATAAAACTTAATAGGAAAGCCTCGGACCGTTTTAATACACAAACAGCATTAATCCAATGAATCTAAATTGCCCAGGCCATAAACACACAACAACATCGGATGTCCCGCGCCGCCATCCGCGACCAGTGGTGACAAAAGGGGATATAATTAGAGACGCGGAGTTAATGTTCGTCCCCTAAACGACGTCTGAACGGCGTTTAATTGGTCGCATTATGAATTTATACAGGCGGATAACAGACAACCGCTGTACCGTCCCGGTGACATAAACGGTGAGTCAGTGGCGGTGCTTCTTCGTTTTTTTTATAACGAACCTCCGTAGTGACTCGAAAACGCGCTTGGGCCTACAGGTGAGCCATATGCGTCCGCTGCAGGATTGCCGTCGCCGGGTTTGCAATTTTTTTAACTTACCTACACGGGCTTGATTTATATGTGCCAGAGAAGTAATGAAAATGCCTTCGCGTCTACTTTCGTGTCTCCCCGATATGCGTGTTCGCTTTAGTTATGTCGATAAAAGAATGCGCGTTTCCCTGGTGAAAACGTCAAGTGAAATTGGCACTTTCATTGTAGATTCGTCGTAATTTCCATTTCGATACTATTCGGAAAAAATGGTTAATCAGTCTATATCGGATTTTCAATAGAATACAAGTCGAAAATCTGCATTCATTTTTGTTTAAAATGTCAATTTAAGATTTAAGTAAAGATTCAAAAAGTCTTAGAGATTGGTGTGAAATTTACCAAAATTTCCAAAGATTAGAAATAAAAAAAGATTTCCTGGGAGGGAACTTTCAAGGTTTAGGAAACTTTCCGCGAACTTTCCTCGAATACATCACTGAAACTTTCCCGGAATAAACGACACAATAAAAAAATCCAAGAGGAAAGTACAAACTTCCTGGGAAAAAAAGTATAATTTTAGAAAACTTTCTGGGAATACTTTGAATATATCCTTGAAAAACAAATAAAATAAAACTATTCCACAAAAAGGAAAATAGACATTTTTTGAGAAATTATAAGAGTTTAGGAAACTTTCTATAAATGCATCATTGAAAATTTTCTAGGAAAAAAATTTGGAAATTTTCTGTAAATAGTTGCGTGAACTTTCTCCGAACACATTGTTGGGAACTTTCTAAGAATTCAAATAAATAGAAAAGTAGAACCTCTAAGAAGAACTATGAAGGTCATTTCTGGGAAGAAACTATAAGAGTTTGGAAAACTTTCTGTGAAAATTTATTCCATGAAACCTTTCTAGGAATACAAATAAATAAAAAACAAATATCTCTCTAAGAAAAGGTCTACTTTCCTTTTTGAAGATTTAAAGTTCGCAAGAACTTTCTTTTTATTTCCTTGAAATATTTCTAGGTAAAATATACAAGTTTAGGAAACTTTACGTGAATATTAGTGGGAACTTTCCGATTATATCCTTGGAAACTTCCTGGGAATAAAAAATAGACCTTTCTGAAATTAAATCATGAATGTTTAGGAAACTTTCTGTTACTAGCGGTACAAATAAAATAAAAATATTCTCAAATAGGAAAGTATACATTTTTTGAGACGAATTATGAAGGCTTAAAAAACTTTCTGTGAGTATGTCTAAATGTATCTATGAAAAATTTCTATTGAAAATAACCAAGTTTAGAAAATCGTCCACTAATATTAATGTGAAACTTATTATGTGCAAAATTAAATAATTAGGAAAGTGACTTTCTCAGAAAAAAATAGCACATTTGCAAATTTTCTGTGAATACATCTATGGACTTATTATGAATACATTTTTGAAAATGT